GGCGGGGAGCCGTGATCGTTAACGCGAAACGAGGCTGAATTTTCGCGCGGCCATCTCGCTCGTTTCTTCCTTACCTTTTTCTTTTTTCTTTCTCTCTCTCTTTCTTCTCCTCTCCCCTTCGTTTCCGCGCACAGCCGAGTTTCTTGTCGCCTATGAAAGTCGCCTTGCGAACGAATTAGCTAGGAAACTCGCCAGTGATCTATTACTCCGGAGATCCGAGTAACTTTGTTCCTTTTTTATCGCTATTCCCATTTCGCGTTCTCATTTAGAAGTGGTCGTTTTGGAATTTTTCGCGCTCCTATTTACAAGTGGTAATTTTGGAATTCTTCGCGTTCCCCTTGGAAGTGATTTTGAAATGGTTCGCGTTCGCCTTAGATGTGGCGATTTTGGAATTCGTCGCGATCCCCTTAGGAATGATTTTGAAATTTTTCGCGTCCCCCTTTAAAAGTGGCAATCCTGAAATTTTTCGCGTTCCCTTCAGAAGTCGAAATCTTGAGATTTTTCGCGTTCCCCTTTACAAAGTGGGAATTTTGAAATTTCTCGTGTTCCGCTTAGAAGTAGGAATTTTGAAATTTTGCGCGTTCCCCTTGGAAATGATTTTGAAATTTTTCGCGTTCCCCTTTAAAAGTGGGAATTTTGAAATTTTTCGCGTTCCTCTTTCAAGTGATTTCGAAATTTTGCGCGTTCCCCTTTAACCCTTTCGCGACGGCGGAACTAGCCATCAGTACGCTAAATAAATCTTCACTTTGAGTTGTTGAGGCGACGCGCTTAGCGGATGCCGGATATAACCGGCGCTAGTCGCGAAAGGGTTAAAAGTGGGAATCTTGAAATTTTTCGCGTTCCCCTTTAAAAGTGGGAATTTTGAAATTTTTCGCGTTCCCCTTTCAAGTGATTTTGGAATTCTTCGCGTTCCTCTTTGAAAGTGGGAATTTTGAAATTTTGCGCGTTCCCCTTGGAAATGATTATGAAATTTTGCGCGTTCCCCTTGGAAGTGATTTTAAAATTTTTCGCGTTCCCCTTGGAAGTGATTTTGAAATTTTTCGCGTTTGTACGAAAGGTGTCTAGTTGACAGAAATTTCGAATGGAAAAAACACGTAAACGGGGTTGGTTCAACGAACTGAATTTCCACGAGGAATAGAAGAGGCATAGGTGGGTGAAAAGTTCCAAGGGATGGAAGCATCCGTGGGCGCGTTAATTAACGGCCGGCCAGAGTAAAACGTTATCAGGGGGCCGCAGATAATTATTATGCAATGCACGCACGGAAATAACGAGCCGATAATTTCGCGCCATGCGAACAAATCTGCGCAAACATGATTAATATTACAAAGTTTTGTAATGCTATCGGATATATATGTATACATATATATATACTATAAACGCCTCTATATTCGCGGATCTCGCCCTGTTTCTATCGGTCCAGTGTATACTGGCATAATTACCAATTAAACGATCCTATACACTTTCCTTCGATCATCTTTCTCTTCTCGTTACCTCCGGAAACCTTATCGACGAATTACAGTACTTTTTTTAATCAACCATTCGAGAACCACTTAAAAGGGAGGAACTGCGGAGGAAGGGGAGGAAGAGGAATCGTTCGCGTTAATCGTGTATAAATAGACGTTAAGTGAGCGAGCATAAACATCTGTAAATATTTTTATCGCGGACTGGCCGCGATACGAAAAACGAGAGAAAATAAAAGAAATGTATAATTGGAACCACTTCCCTCCGTTTCGTTCCTCTCCTTTCTCTCACTCTCACTCTCTCTCTCTGTCTCTCTCTCACCATCTTTTCCCATTCTGTGTGCGTCTTTCTCTGCAGCTGCAACGACATTGAACGATTTATGAAGCACTATAGTTGCGGAATAATTACGCGAGCTATCGTGTCGCCAAGAAAATATCCTCGGCGGCCTCGTCGATATCTTAATTCACCTTCGTAATGTGATCGACCGCGTTAATTATTCCCGCTGGTAACATCGCTTAATCGTGTACCGTGACAGGGTTTTGCCAGCCGATTACCAACATATTTTCTACGTGCCGGCAAACAACGACTACATTGTTGCTACCAACCAGACCGTCCAACATTTATAATACCACCCTTTCAACATACAACCGTGCTTCTCTTTACTTCTATCTACGATCGGTTAATTGTTTTATCTTTCTCCTGTATTAATTAATCACCGTTTAGCATATACTCTCGATCACCGGCGTCGTAAAAAAGTATACGGTAATTCTCCATTCAATTTCCAGATCCTGCGTAAACCCCGTCTACGTTGTTCTTTTCCTTTCCGAATAAATCTCGAAAAATTTATCTCCTTCGAGTAGCGATTAATTAGCGCTTAGAATATCCTTAAGCTTAATTAGTAGAAATTGTTGTTCTTGTTACCCCGTGAATGTGTAAGATCGCCTTAAAGGGCGTCAAATTTCTGCGGAATAAATCAAAACATTTATCTTACCAAAGTGATCTTCCAATTAATCACCGCACTTCTTATTTATCTTCCAATTAATCACTGTTTAAAGTATCGTTAACTTGAATTCGCAGAAATTCTTCTTCTTGCAACCCTCGAGCGAATGAGATCGTTTTAAACGGTGTCCAATTTCCTCCAAATAAATCTTAAAAATTTATCTTTCTAGGGTATCTTTTAATTAATCACTGTAGGTGCTACTCGTGTTTCAATTAATCACTGTTTCGAATATTCTTAACTTCCATTCACAGAAACTCTTATTACAACCTCCAAATTTATAGGATCGCCTCAAAATACGTCTAATTTCCTCTAAACAGATCTCAAAAATTCCTCTTCCTAGAGTACCTTGCAATTAATCGATGTTTAAAATATCCTTAACCCGAATTCGCATAAATTGTCCTTGTAGCAACCCCCAAGTGCATGAGATCGCCTTAAAAAGCCTCAAAATTAATCAAAAAAAATTTATTTTCCTCTAGAATGTCAATCAATCAATGTTCAAAGTATTCTCAAGCTCAATTCTCAGAAACTGTTCTTCTAGCAACCCCCAAGTGTATAAAATCGACTCAAAAGGCCTCCAAATAAATCGCAAAAATTTATTTTCCTCTAGAATGTCAATTAATCACTCAATTCGCAACCCCCAAATTTATAAAATCGCCTCAAAAGGCGTCCAATTTCGTCCAAATAAATCTAAAAAATTCCTCGTCCTGAAATATCTTCCAATTAATCACTGTCTAAAATATCCACAACCTCGATTCACAGAAATTGTTCTTCTTACAACCCCCGTGTGCACAAAATCGCCTCGAAAGGCCTCAAAATAAATCTCTAAAAATGAATTTCCTCCTAGAGTATCAATTAATCACCGTTTAATATATCCTCAACCTCGATTCACAGAAGTTACCCTTCTTGCAACCCCCAAGTGCACAAAATCACCTCAAACTTCCTCCAAAGAAATCTGAAAAGTTCCTCTTCCCGGCATATCTCCCAATTGATCCCCGCGCAATTAATTCATCTCCTCAATCGCCGTTTACAGCATCCTCAACCCGAATTCCCCGAAATTCTTCCTCTCCCAACCCCCGTTTGTGCACAAGACCACCTTAAAAGGCGTCCAATTTCCTCCAAATAAATCTCTAATTCACCGTAGTGACCGTAGAGAACCAGTCTCTCTCTCATCGTGTTTTGCCACTGATCGGTGAGTTTTTCGGATCGGTTTCAGGCGACCTGAGGCTGCCGGGGCCGGGACCAGGTCCGGTCAGGTGCACCCTGAGGAAGCACAAGCCAAATCGCAAACCGAGGACGCCGTTCACCACTCAGCAGCTGCTCTCGTTGGAGAAAAAGTTTCGTGAAAAGCAGTACCTAACTATCGCCGAACGAGCGGAATTCTCCTCGTCCCTTCACCTCACGGAAACGCAGGTGAGAGACACTCGTACGTCGATGGTAGTCGTTAAAATCTTCTGCCTCCGACTGTTGCGCGAACAATTAACCATTAGAGAAACAAAGAAGAAGAAAAACACACCGTGTTCTATACACACATCTCCCTTAACATTACAATCCAGCACATTGTAAATTCACCGACGTGCATCATCCACGAAACGACGTTCGTTCCTTGTTTCAAACCTTGGATCGAGTCACTTCTACAAAACGTTACCGGTGATTTAAAACGATCGCCGATTCGGTACGACTTCATCGAACACCGTGTGTATGTGTGTGTGTGTGTATACAAATGTTAAAGAGCGGTATTATCGTTCCAACAGAACGTCGGTATATAGAAGTTTGGATAGAAGGTGGGTTTAATCGATTGTTCAACGAGATATCGGCTACTTGGAAGCAGCGCACAGTATGAAATACTAAGAACTAGAGCTTGGAAGTGGCATGGAAGTGATTCTCAGAAACGCGTAAATAGAGAAAGTGGCAAAAAAGCATGGCTCGCACGCAACCAGAGGCATCGTCTCTCTTGAACTTGCAGTTTGATCGTACATACTTACATGTGTTCCACCGTTTCAACCACCCCGAAACATTTGTTCTTTTCCCTGTTTACTCTCCCCGCTTCTCCACGTAATTTAGATTTCTTTTCTTCCTTAGCCAACCGTTTCGTCTCTCTTTGTTTCGCGTAATTACTCCGCGAACGGTCAAAACGAGCAAATTCTCTTCGTCTGGCTCTCTCGCATCAGATACATCACATTGAAGCGGGTAATTACACACCCTTCTACGGCGTCGGCTAGCAATTAACATGATTGACGTTAATTAAATTGAACGTAATGAAATGATATTATACGGAATTTTTGTATCAGCCGAAATGATCAGCGGAGCTGAGCTCATTTGGCGTGCCTACGCCACAAGATGCCTTTTTTTAAAGCGACGACCACGGTCGAATTGTTTTCTCGCCAAAAATGTGGCTGCAGGTTACAGCGACACCGTGAAGAAATTCGAGCGAACCGATACGACGAGGTTTATGATTCTATTAAAACAATTTCTACGTATATACTCGGGGCACCTGATCGCTCTGTACGTGCACTCGTTGAACTGGACGCTCGTCGATTAAGTTCGTTTAATGAACGCGTTTTAAGAGAGGATTATTTACATTAGGAGTGAAGGGGGAATTTTATGTTTGGAGAGTGTCTGACGTGAAATTGAGGGGTACTTTTAGAAATGGTTATCTATGGTTATTTATTAACTTTGGTTAGGTTAGGTTGTCGCATGTGAAATGGTCGATTTGAGAATCTCGCTAGGATTTGGTAACTTATCGTGAGTTTGGTCAATTTGAAACTCCAAGGTGGCCAAAATTTGTCGATTATTTTATTATTAAAAAGGAAATTTTTTAAGACGGTTAACGATAAATCAAGATCAATGTTCACTGATCTCTTTTTATAATAGCTGGAGAAAAATTAATTTTGTCCAGAAATAAGTTGCTGAATAAATATTACATTCGATTCGTAAATATATTTCTACTGAAACTGAACTGCACCGAAAAATGCAACAACCTATTTACAAAATTATTAAAATCCGAGAAAAATTATTCAGCTGGGAAGCTCATAATGTAACTAGTAAAAAGAACAATAACTTCCGTACAAACATAGTGTCCCAATATTTACGAACAGTACAGTACAATCGAACTCGCCAAACGTTGAAAAGACCTCGAATTTCCCGCAGCAAGGCAGTTATTAAAACCGTATCTGAAATCGAGAGAAAAATTGCTATCGGTACATTAGAGTACCAGTCTGACCGTAACATTCTGGTTCCACTTCTAATTTGTACTCAGGCGCAGTGAACTGTTTCCGCTACTGATAATAATAAAATACACACGGTGTTGGTTACCGCGTGGTATTAATTAACCATAAAGCCGAACAGCGCGCGCACCCACTCTATCCATCAGCATGCACCGTGTTAAATTCTTTCATCTGTATTTATCGCGTCTGAACTCGATGAAATTTGTCAGGCGAATCGTAAACTCACTGCTGTGCGGAGATACCGAGGGGGAGAGAGAGGGAGAGCGGCGTTACTTAACGTTTTGATAACGCGCGAAGGGAGGAGAAAAATTGGCGAAACGAGGCTGTTCCAGCCGGCAGTAAAATTAACCAACCGCGTTGATACCTTGGAGGACGTTCGTTGTCCCGGTATAACACGTGTTCGTGGCCAGGCCAAAAAGACGATCGCGACGAGGCTATTATCGCATGCCGGCTAGCGTGTTCAGATACACTTTGCGTATTCATTACAATGCATCAGACGAAATGAAGCCTCCTCGTCCGCGTTCATTTGCTTAGATAAGCTACGATCGGCGAGCGTCGCCTCGTGTCCTCCGACTCCGTCGTCCTTCCGAAACCGCACCGAATCGCCACCCCGAATGCCTCTCTCTCTCTCTCTCTCTTTCCTCTCTCATTATTCACCCGCGACGAAGAGGTATGTTCGCGATTTCGGTTGCGATATTCCCGCCACTTTCAATGCAATAGCCACGCTCTTCGTGGAAATAATTTCGCGTTACCTCTCGGGACGATCGATGGTGAGCCGTTCTTTTCGGTATTCGAGAGCTCCAGAATGTATTTCTCGTTCTTGTTAACGTTTGCACTGCTCGAAGGGCGAGTACATAAAGGAAGGAAGATTTTAGAGGATAAAGTTTCTGAAGTCAGTATCACCTACCGTCAGTTTACCGTCGTAAATTTCGATTATTAGCAACATTTGCATTGCTCGAAGAATACGAAGAGGAAGCAGAATTCCCGAGATAAACCTCTGTTCATAAGAGACCCGTAAAAGGGAAACGAAACAAGCAATCACAAATTACCCAGTTTTACTTCACCGTCGTAAATTTCGATTATCATCAACATTAGCACTGCTCGAAGATTACAAAGGACAAACCTCTGTTAACAAAGAATTTTAAATCGTTTCTAAGAGCCGTAAAAAAATAATTGCAATCACAAATTACTATCAATTTACCGTGGTAAATTGCAATTAAACATTTTCGATTGCTACTAACATTTCCCTTACCCGAAGAATGCAAAGAGTAAGCAGAACTTCAAAGGATAAACGGTGAAAAAAAAAAAGAAAAGAGCGTACAAGCAATCACAAATTACCCAGTTTTAGTTTACCATCGTAAATTTCGATTAGACACGCTCGCTTAGGTTACCATGAACGATAACCATAGGCTTGAGGAGGGATTAATTTAAATCCATCGTCACGGTGATCGAGGCAGCACGAACGGTGGCTATTCGCGTCCCTGGAAAATTGCGCGGTGGCAACGCGTGTTAGCCTACGACCGTGAAAAACAGGAAGTCGTTGGTGAAGAGAGAAAAACCAACGCGGAATATCGCAATATGTCTTTCCTCCCGGAGTGAACCGCTAACGATTTGATTGCACATTGTCACGCGACGCGAGATTTCTACTTTCTAACTAAGAGCGACGAGTATCCTCCCCCCGACGCCAAGCCCGAGCAATGGGTTACGTGCAACCAACACTTCTTCACCAACCTCACTCCCTCTTCCTCCTCCTCGACACTGGTGCCTGATTTATTAAGGAGTTACGCGATTTATATCGTTTTTTCGCATCTGCATTTTTATTTACCCCTGTAACTCCCTGCAACATTATACCCGTTTTAGCGATCAGATTACGGCTCCTTGAACTCGTTACGCGTGCTCCAACCCGCTTAATGCTAATTCCCTGTGTGTACGCTGGAGCTGCGTACCAGCAACGCGCATTACCCTCGATAAAAATAATGGTAACGAGAATAATAATGACGATAATGGTAAGATTGTCGTCGTTACAACACGTACACCGAACCGTGGATATTAGCGTACACGGAGATGACGGACAGAGTCCTCGTTCCACGGTGTTTCATCAAATATCCCCGCTACCTCGCTCTTCTTCTCTTGGGTAAAACAAACCTTCGTGCAAAAGAGTTCACTGTTTTTAATTAAAACGTAGGCTACACTCAGTTCGTAACACGAGGCGAAATGTTCTTCTTCTTTTCTCTCCCGTACGTGCACGCTGTTAGGCCAGTGCTGCGCTATTCTTGCAATTAGAATCATTACACTAGCTCCTTTTTTCCCCCTCACTTTTACCATCTACAACACTCTCGGTATTGATAAAATTAACGATAAACCTGGTTGCGCGGAAGGCAACAAAGTTGCCCGAAACGAGGCGCAATTAACGACACACGGTGGCAACGAGTTCTGCAGGGATAGCAATTAATTTGTCGATTCGTTAACCGGTGGTCGTCGTATACGTGAAATTTTCCAGTGAAATCTCCCGGCGGGAAATCACGTTCGATTTAACCAAGGCGTTAAATAAACGGTTGCACGAGGACGCGTGTCGCAATTCGAGGCTGGATTCGCCAAGACAGCAGCAGCGGCAGCAAGTAAGCAGCAGCCGCATCTGTCCAAACAGAAAAATTGGCCGGCGACTGTGCAAACACAATTAACCGAGGAGAGAAAAAAAGAAAAAGGAGAGAGAGAGACGTGAATTCGAGTCGCATATTTTTCCACGTAGCAAGTTTCCAACTACATCGACGAATTCCAGCCTCTGGCTCGCTACGACCGGCTGCTTTCACCAATTTGAGCCGGCTAATTACGCGCTAAATAGCCGTTCATGCAGCACCGCCGCGCGCCTATTTTCTCTGCTAGCCGATCCCGTCGCGTCCCCTCGTTAGAACCGCTTACGTACTACGCCTGATCGATAGCGTAATTATTTAATTACGCGACCGCCTAGCCTCCCGCCCGTCCGTCCGTCGACCACGGGCATTTTCTACTTAGCGTACCTCTCCGGCTATACAGTGTTTCCATTCGACTCCATGTGAACGCGTGTTGTAGATACCGTTCGGTGAAAACGAGAGCTTGGAGAGTTTGTGTGCGGTGAGAAGTGTTATAAGGAAGTTCCGAGGAGCATAGTTTGATTGTCGAGTGTCGAGTAGGTTCTTTTTATTTTTTTGATTGGATGGTTTTGAAGAGTAAAGCGGTTGGTGTGTGGGAAAAGTAGGGTTAATGGTCGCTGAGTATGGAATACGATTAGGAATTTCTGTTTTGCTTGATATCTTGGAGTTTGTATTTGTGAAATAAATGTACAAGTAAGATTTGAAGATCGAGAAGTCGGTTATCAGTGAGAATTTGCGTGGGACACTTATGGGCGATGATAGTAGTTAAAGGGTTAATAGCGAATGTTAGTTAAGCAGAATTTTATATATGCCATTGCATCTATCAATTTTATTTGTTGAAATTTGCAGAGAAGAATTGTAAGAAATGACTCAATCCTCACTCTTGGAAGATTCTATCCCTTGTAATAATTTAACACGTTCAGGACTGTGTGATGCACCAGTGGAAAAAATTAAAAACTGAAAATAAACTCTTCGATAAAATCGAACCATCCGATTATATCAAATTCCTGCAGAATAGAGCGTTTCGTGAATTTTTCTGTCGTCCCGAAGGTGTTAAAAGAATAAATCTAAGGCTGAAAGGATTTCTAATATGTTTCCTTTGTAACTCTCCACGGTGTTCCTCTGTTCCAGGTGAAAATCTGGTTCCAGAACAGGCGAGCGAAGGCGAAGCGTCTGCAGGAGGCGGAAATCGAGAAGCTGAGGCTGTCTGCGAGGCCGCTGCTTCACCCGAGTTTCGGCTCTGGCCTCATGTTCTCCGGAGTGGGGCCTCCTGGAACACCAGGAGTGCCTCCCTTCATCGCGGCGGCCATGGCTAGGCACACCCATGTCGCGGCCGCGGCAGCCATGTTCATGGGGCCCCCTGGACACAGGCCTTAATAAGGCAGAGTCGAGCCGCGCGAGCCCAAGTCGCTCGTATCCTGGCCAGTCCGCCTCTTCCGGACGGGCAAACCGCAGGAAACGCGTCTCGAGATCCATCTATCCAGCTCGGGTCGTTCGGAGAATCAACTGGACCATATCTATCATAACTATCTCTTCGAAGAACGACACCGTGGACGACTCTTCGACCGCGATTTTCGCTCGGAAGATCGAACAAGAAGAAGAATTCGACGGTGATTGGTTTGGGGATCAGTTTAAAGTTTGATAAGAACCCTCGACGGTTCTCCGGCTAAAATCGTACGAGTTGTTCGCGGAGATACGACGCAGTGATTAAAAGTGAAACGAAGAGATGAAAGATTAACCGGAAAAACTCTGAGAAGATCGGAGAACGTTCAACAGAGGCTTGTGGAGTTTGTGATTTGTGACCGTGGAGACTGAGAAAACGGAGAAATTCGACAAGTACAGTTACATCTCGAAGTAATTTCCAAGCCCGTCACCGTCGGAGAACCTAGAAGGAGAGGAAAAATTTCGGCTCGCGGACGTCTAATCGAGCGGGAATAACGGACGATCTTAGACAAACAGGAGGAAAATTGAAGATGACACGAGTTTCTCGTACGCGATACTAGATGATCACCGGTGTTCGCTCGTCATAAAAAGCAACGCGACTGAGAGAAGTTTCAGCCGGGACGATAAATCGACGACGACTTTTACTGCCGCGATCTTTCACCGAGTCAGAGGAGGGTCCTCGAAAAATCGTGGCGAACTCACCCCTCTCGTGTCTCCTTTATTTTTCTACGCTCTCGCGTTTCTCCACGTCCAAACGATTTACCCACGACTCGTTCGAACGGACTTGCAAATATCTCGCAACTACCGTAGAAATCTACAAAACCGTGGCTGGGTCTGACAGCATTTAGAAACGCATTTCCAAGGCGTTGATCTCACGAAAAGAAGAAAAATGAAAATCGACGTAAGAAAGAATCGATGTACATATTGTAAATAGAGACGTCTAACGAATCGCGTTAAGTGTACGTATGTATATAATATATATATTATATATCGACGCGTGTACAGGACGTTCGATTACCGATTTCTTTTCCCCCTTGTTTCGCGACAGAAAAACCGTGACGACATTACCGAGAGTTAAAAGAGAAATCGACCCGACAACCACGACGACGACGACGACCACGACCAACTGTACGTTGTAACACACCGACTCAGGAGTTTCGATTGACCCGCTCGTTCGAGAGACTCGTTTATCCCTCGAGGGGAAAATTTATGGGTGAGATAATTGACTAGCCTGAAAGAAGTAGAAGAAAGAAAAAGAAAAAAGTAAAAAAAAAGTAAAAAAAAGTACGCTACGTAGCCGATGATTCCTCTCTCTCTCTCTAGAACAGCTCAGCTAGAATACCTGCTCCCAAAAAAAAAAAAAAAAAAAAAAAAAAAAAAAAAAAAAAAAAAAAAAAAAAAAAAAAATCGTTCTCTAACGATCGCATTCGAACCGACTGTGAGAAAAGTTCACCACCTCTCGAAGATCGTTCGTTCAATCGTTCAATCGTGGTAAGAAAAAGAAGAAGACAGAAAATTCGAAGTTAGAAAGTTGAACGAAGAGATAAATTTCTTTTTTTTTTTTCCGAAAAGACGGAGAATGAAAAATTCGGCAAGCTTTTCTCGTGGGAAAAATGTGTCGAAGAGGTTTCGGTAAATGCGAGCGGTGTATTTTCGAAGAAGGAAGGCAAAAACGAACGCGAGAGTGAAAGAGAGCGTGTACATAAAAGGTGTGCGTGTCTAGAGGGTGGCGAAAAGTGTAAATTGTGTAGCTACCGTGAGAGTGCGAACTGCGAACGCGACGAGGTCCCGGATGTACCTAAGCGCCCTGTATAAATGTAACATGATAATTTATCCATGGAAGTATACCATAGCGAAATAAAAGTGATTTCAGTATTTAACGCCGACTTGTAAACGTCATTTATCCGTATCTGAGTCAACCATTCGTTCAAACACACTCAATCTACGTATCTTTCAGTAAACACCAGTAAGCAGAAATTGAAAAAGCAACAAGGTAAGTCGTTGAACTTCATCGTGGTTACGATCGAATCGAAAAATGAAGGAATAAGAAATAATTCGTGGATCGTAGCAACGATCTTCGTCTGAAAGAAGTACACTTTGTTCCGTGAAACTAAGAGAGAAAGAGAAAATTGAAAAAAGACAACGAAACGTGATGAAAGAAGAAAGGAAGAGGGAGAGTTACGTCGATCGCGACGAAATGTATCGCAAAGTCATCGAGAGAGGAGCAAAGCGGCGGCGCTCTCGTATATGGCAAGTAGTCGAGGCAAACGGTATAGGGCGGCCGAAAGTGTCCGGCGGATAATTAGAAATATGTTAATCCGGCGTAGCCGCTAATTGGTTTTTGACTAAATTTTTAATTAAGTCTTAAGCCCGGGCGGCACGCTGATTTATCGCGCTGGCCCGCTGGCTAATTATAAAATATATACGTACCGGGGCCCACGCACACGTGACGCCGCCTCTCTCGTATCTACGCGTATACCCCGTGCCCCCTCGCCGTATGCACCTGTCCCGAATAATCTGTCCATGAGCGTCGACTTTAACTCCTTTCGTGCCTTCATTTTTCTCCAAATTGTTTTTCACGGATTTTTGAGAATTAACGATCCAATCCGCAAAAATGAGGGACTCCGGAGATTTCTTAGTTGAAATTACAGAAATTAAGATGCTTCTGTGCAAGTGACTTTTGTTGAAACGAAGAATAAAAACTGAGGAGTAGACAAAGTTTAATTGGAAAAAATGGGACATCCTGTGTGTGCCAATTTAGTTTTCGTTAATTAGTCTAATTTCAGAGTTCTTTGCTAGAGAATAAGTACAAGGAGGAATAGTAGAATTTACAGCGAAGTTTGGGTAACAGGTAACTAAAAATGTTGCCCGTTTTCCCTGAGAAACAGGTTGCAGTTCGGCGCCAATGGCCAGATTCACGTATACTCACGGGTCCACCTTCCCTATCTCGCAGGAACGGGGTAGAGGGCAGAGGAGCCACCTTCCCGGGCTAAAACGAGAAGTCGGAGGATCCGTTCCACTGGCACGTTCGATCAAAGAAATTCGCCGCCTTCTTTGAATCCCTCGGCCGCTCGTAACTGTCGTCCCTTTGGCCGAGAGACCAGTAGCCTAATTGTTGGCACCGGTGCCGCTGATATACCGGTTATTAGAACCGGCCAAATCGCCGGAAGTTCTCACCGCTTTACGACAACCGGTTAAATACCGAAAATCATTACTCCCTAGAACAAAACCTGGACACTCGTCTTTGTTCAAACACCAGACCAAGATAAATCCTGCCGTCTGAATCACGCGAATAGCGTGACTAGAGGGCACAAACCACGATCGAGTATTAACTTTCCCCTCTTTATACGGAACTCCATCTTAGCTGGAGATCACCTACGCGAGCATTCGGAGAAAAGTATACAAAGAGGGAAATGTATCTAAGAGGTGAGAGGAAGGTAGGAGAAAGAGTATAGGAGGAGAGAGTTTGACTGGCAAACGAGCAAATATCGACCCTCTGAAAGAGCCACGATTTACCGTTAAAGGGTTTACAAACAGGCGCCAGGTATTTGCTACCTTCAGAACGGAAGACTGTCTCTCTCTCTCTCTCTCTTCGTTCCAAGTCACCATAGTGTTCGTTCTCTTTCTAGCTCGACTATCCGGCTTCCCTTCGTGTCTCAACCGTATATCCCACCTCTATTGCAGAGAGGAAAAGAGACTCTGTGTTACACGCGCTCGGTCGGCGCTCCCATATAGATGAAATTTATGTACGAGGCCGACCGATCCTACGCATGCGGCCACATTGAGCGCTGACAATTAATTAAAGAATAATTTCTTGTCTTCGCGATACCCGGAGGAGCGTCGCCAGTTGGCGGCCAATTATGCCTCCGGACGGGAACGGAATACCAAGCAGGCCTGTCGACGACATCGGGAGAGCCCCTTCTCGATGTGTCCGCGCCGTGCTACCGCTCCTCGCCGATTCCTCTCTTCTCCAACTCTCCAAGAGCTCTGCCCGTCGTCCTCCTCGTCTTCTTCTCCTCTGGCTGTCGCGTACACACGCTCTCTCCTGCCCCCTTTCGCACAATGAGAAACAAGGGATTTCGCCTGCATCGCGAGCCCAACGATTTCGCGCTTCCCAGCCAATTTCAAGCCTCTAATGGATCGTGGACTTCGAGCTTTGGTTTATTCATCCGTGTCACCCGGATGATTAAGTTGTATTGAAAATACGTACAGAGAAATACCCCCTTTGCCTCTTTCGGACGTGGCAGATTTTATACGTTTTTACTCGCGCAATCTTGGTTCAAATGAACCTGGGAGAAAGTGACGTTAACCCTTCTCGACGCGTACGTCTCACTTGAGCACTCTTTAGTATTCGTTACGAAGGCAATCATCGCGGTTGGTAAATAAAACATTCTTCGAAAAAGTAACTCAGTCTCGAAAGAGTTAAAAAAGGAAAAAAATCACAAGTGACTTTGAAAATTAAGTTTCGTTCGAGTGAAAAATTGATTGTTCGAGGATTAGCATTAACGAATGTACGTATCGTCCAATTACGAAGAAGTTGTAGGACCTAAAAAAAAAAAGTTCCCTTTCGATAAACGACAATCGTGTCGAAATTACAAGCGTGTCATCGTGCGATCATCTTGTCCGCCGGTTTTCACCGTGGATCCGGCGTGGTCGGTCTCGAAAAGGTTCAGCGGACGAGCGCTGGACCGGAAGGCCGTCGTGGGGGGAGAAAAAATTCTCGGTTAACGCGTGCATCGAAAGCAGGCCTCCCCTCATTCAGTTTATCCAAATTAATTGGTCGTAAATTAAGCGGCTGGTCTGACGAGCGCGGCGAAACGAAGCTGAAGAGAGATAGCGGGAGAGAGAGAGAGAGACGGAGGAGCACGAGTAGATCTCTCTGAGGTCCAGGCAGCGAGAGAGGCTGTTCTCCGTGTAACAGGGACACCGAGATC